GCTACCCGACGAGACTTATAGCGAGCAATCTTGCCATTAGAGTGATACTTGATCTTGTAGACCCATTTACTACCAATCGCCTTCTTGCCGGGAGGAAGTGTAGTAATATCCCATGTTCTTTGTAACTCAAGTGCACTATATTCATCTTTCATTGAATTATTCCAAATATCATCAACAACGGCCTCTTTGAAATTTGTAGGTTCAAAGTTGGATGTCACAACTGCTAAGAAAGCCTTGTGACAAGAAGAAAAATGTACTTTAGTGAGATAATTGGCTATAGGGTATGGTGTGGTACCTGAGACCGAAGTAGGAGAACCAAGAATAGGAGACGGTGAAGCGAGAGAGGGGGACGTACGAAGATGAGAAGCCTTGACGGCATAGTCATTGAGTAAGATAGAAGGTGTAATTTTGCGATGACCACGACCAAGTAACTCAGGGAAACCGGGAGACGGAGCATCATTTTGATCAATAACAGTGGACTGCTTCATAGTAGGAGATGTAGGAGAGACAAAATCAACTATAGGAGTGGTAGTAGTAGACGTATGATCATTAGGAGAAAGACGCAACGGAGTGGTAGGGGGAGGCGGAGCATCATTTTGATCAATAACAGTGGACTGCTTCAAAGTAGGAGATGTAGGAGAGACAAAATCAACTATAGGAGTGGTAGTAGTAGACGTATGATCATTAGGAGAAAGACGCAACGGAGTGGTAGGGGTAGATTCTGCTATAAGAGATAGAGATTCTGGTAGAGTAGACGATAAAGACGCAGGTGTGTCATTCGGGACTGAAGAGGACACTAGAGGAGGAGAAGGTGGAACAGGTGGGAGAGTAGACGAGGTAGTTGCTGGCGAATCAGCTGGTAATAACCAGTCATCAACAGCCAGATCAGGTTAAAAAACAGGAGGTGTTACATAATTGTCGTCAGAAACACCCGGAAATTGTTCTTTGAGAAAAACAACATCACGACTTGAGAAGAACTCGTCCCTGTCAATATCGTATAGCCTCCAAGCTTTCTTTCCATATGGATAACCAACAAAAATGCACTTGCGACTTCGATCACTAAATTTATCTTTATCGCGTGGGCGACGATGAGCATAACTTAAACAACCAAACGTGCGGAGAGAATCGTAATTGGGAGCAGCTCCGTGAAGCATTTCATACGGAGTTTTCCCTTGTAGGAGAGGCGTAGGCGTGCGATTGATAAGGTGAGCAGCGGTGAGAATACTTTCGCCCCAAAATGATACCGGAAGCCTAGCTTTGAAGAGCAAAGCACGTGCAATGTTAAGTATGTGACGGTGTTTGCGTTCGACACGACCGTTCTGTTGTGGAGTATCTACACAGGAAGTTTGATGTTCGATACCATGGTGACTAAAATAGGAGGTTAGAGCCATAAATTCAGACCCATTGTCTGATCGAATAGTCTTAACAGGTTTCTCGAACTGTTTTTCACTCATAGCGCAAAAATTTTGAATAAGGCCATTGACCTCAGATTTTGCTAACATGAGATAAATCCAAACAGCTCGTGAGTAGTCATCAACAATGGTTAGAAAATAAGCAGCTCCGCAAGAAGAAAGAGTACGATATGGTCCCCAAACATCGCAATGAATTAAAGAAAAAGGCTCCAAAGCTTTATTAGAACTCTCACGAAACACAGAACGAGTTTGTTTAGCACGAAAACAAATGTCACACGGGTGTGTGTCTTCAAAATCAACTTTTAAATTATCAAAAACCGGTAATGTAGAAAGCACTTTGTAAGAAGGATGCCCAAGTCTTCGATGCCATAAAACTGAAGGAGAAAGCTTTCCCTTGCTAGTTTGATGAGCTCGTGCAACGTTGACACCTTTGAAGTAGTAAACCCCCTCTCGCTCTTCACCGGCGCCAATCAGGGTCCTCGTAAAACGGTCCTGCAAAACACATAGTGTATCAGTGAATATTGCAATACAGCCGGTTTGCTTGAGTAGTCTTGATACCGAAATCAAAGTGCAATTGAAATTCGGTACATAGAGAACATTAGACAGAAAGTAATCTATATTTAACGGCAATGTGCCGATTTTAGTAGCACGAGAGGCAGTTCCATCAAGGAAGGTGAGATCAAGGATCGTTTTCGCTCTGATACCATGAAATAAATTGGAAAGTGTTGTTTGTATTGATTTACAAAAGCCAATATTTATACAAGAGATCCTAAAACTAAGAGATATGATAGAATCGTATATTTAGATTACAATGAATATGATTGTAGTTATCCGTATCTCTATATTTTCCACATCCTTTGATGTATGCATTTAAGATGCATGCATGCGTCCAATATAGTGTATGTAAAATTACTATCCGTAGAATTGGTTCAAAGTATCTTCCCAGGTGTAAGATTTGAAAAAAAAAAAGATTTGAAATATAAAATTAATTAATCTTATATCCCAAAAAAAGTTACTCATATGTACCTAGTTAAAAAAAAATTGTTTCAGCCATACCAGATCTGTTTTATATATGTTAGTATACTACGATATTTTGATTTTACATAAATGTTACCACATGTTATCTAGATCTATAGATAAAATGCCTAAATTTTATATATCTTCCTCTCTAGTTTCTTAATGATACGGTCATGTCTCTTCTTTACCAATTTCAGTTTCTATTTGCAAATTTCTTTTGTCAATTCTGTTCATTTTTGTAAAACGCATGCAAAGCCAAACCTAACTGAGAATAGAAATGGACAATATTTGATCGAATAAATAGACACGTACGTGACGGTGGAGATATTACCAGAACAAGACAGCAAAAACTGAAACGTTGCCAATAATTAAAAAGTAATAACCGGTGGCTAAAGACAAACAAAATGCAACTCTCTTCACCCTTCTCGACACACATTTCAACTCCTTAGATTCTTCCCGATTTCTGTAAGATTTTTAATCCTTTTAATTTCTTATTAAGACAAGAACCTGAAGTATTATTTTTATGTGCTACATAAGTACTCGCTTTGATCTATTGTGATGGTTCTATAATTTTTAGTATATATTTCAATGGATCCAGTTACTCTTTTCCTAATCACTCAATCTATGTACTCTTTCCCTAATCACTCAATTTATCTATTTCTGTCATAAAACCTTTTTCACTTTTGTTTTTTACTTTCTTCTTCTTTTGTCTGATTCCTACTATCTTTTTGTTGTTGTATTTGCATGAAAGTTGTTTTTTTTTTTTTTTTTTTTTTTTTCTGGTTTGGTGAGTACTTTACAGAAAATGACTTCTATTCTCTGAAAAATAATAATTTATAACTGAAGACTTTAAAGAAAATAAGTGTCAATGGTCTTTGGACATTTTACTACAGTATATATATTTACAGTTGTGTCATTTGCATGATTAAGTAACTATATTTGGACATTTTACTACAGTATATATTTACAGTTGTGTCATGTGTAGCAGATTATCGCAGTTGTAATTTGTCGGGAATAATTATCAATATAGACATTACTTTTCAGTCAAATTCACCGTTTCTTTAATCTTAAATTTAGGGAAAGGGTTCTTAATTTGGCGGGAAAATGTTGTAAAATGGCAACAGGTGATTCCTTTTTTTTTTTTGCGTTGTTTTACTTGAAATCTTCTAAAATAGTATGAATCATATGATCACTGTTTCCTTACATAGTCAATCATATGACCAGTTGATCACTGTTACACTATATCGTTATTTGATTATTATTCTTTAGATTCTAGGAGCATTAACTATTTCAGAGGCAGCAGTCTGATCTCTGAGTAAGTTCAGTTTGGAAGAAAGCGAAACAATGAAACTTCTTGTTTTTTTAATAGAAATTTTATTATATAGATATTTCGATACACAAAATTGACATTTTTAATACATATTGTATTTAAGAAAGAGAAAAGATATATAGAATTTGAAGCGGCCTATATATATTGTGGGAGCCCTAACCCGTTTTTTTTTCTGGCAATGGGAAATTAAATGTTTATGTTAAACTACATCGTTTGGCACAGATATTTGTTCTTTGTTCTTTTTATGTTGATAACTAAAAAGATAGATCATGTTTCCTCAATTAATTGATCTCCCTTCACTAATTTTTGCTATATATATTGGTCTAACTGTCCAGTGTCCAATGGTTTATTGGTTCCTTTGGCCCATAGTCAATTTTTTTTCCAAAAAATGATGTGATATTCGAACGTTTAATTTGTTTTGCCTTTGCATTTATATTATAAAACATTGTAATTGTGATTTGCATGTCTTAAAGCAAGACGTCTGTACTTTTGTTTTCAATTCAATTTTTTTTTTTCTTGAAAAGTTTAAAGTTTCCTCTTATTATTAGGATGACTAATAATAGTAACACTTACTCTCATTCTGAAGTACATATTATGGCATCGATCTGAGATTGTCTTTTTTTTTTCAGTTAAAATTGTGGATTATTGGATACCTATATAGTATTTTGGACATCTATTATGTTATGAAGTAGAATATTAAACCAAAATTATAAATTTAATTAGTACCAAAACGAATGCTAAAAATTCTATAATGACTTCACATGCATGGGAACTTAATTTCTTTTCTTGTTGTAGAGGATGTATAGTGTTTTGAGGGTTAAATATTGACTGATTCTCTCTACGGTGAATGTAAATTAAATTAGATATATTTATTACTTTATGTACACATACAATAATAGGAACGGTGTTATGGATGCCACAAAGGCATGCGACTTATAAACAAAGAACTGGCTCCTAGCACGATACAAGCTTCTAGTGTGCATAGGACATAAGTTATTGTTTCTTTTAACTCTTAAATATTGTTTTATTTTTATTTAATTTGAAATCACTTAACAATATCTCTCTTTGACGGGTGCGAAATCCAATTAATCGGTCAACAGATTTTAACTCGGGAAAGCCAAAACAAAATCCCACCCCAATTCTTTTTTCATTTAATAATTTCCTTTCTACAGAAGAAAAATATACTACTATATAAATAGGTTATTATACCTTTTTTTTTCTTCTCACTTATATTCAAATTATTTTGAACGAAGAGTGACTTTTACTCTTACTAAATGTGCTTTGTTAATAATTTAATCTTTACGTCTATCGTCTCATATAATATTGCATGTCCGTACACACATGCAGTGAACTCGGGGATCTACAATTATACTATAATTTAAGAAGATCGATCCTATTGTTGTTTTATGTGTATTATCTTTGGGTGGTTTCAATGAGATTGCATGTATGTGAACACGTAGAAGTATACGAATACGTAGCCTTGTGCGTACACATGTATATGGATATGTAAGTACAGGTGTATGTAAAAATGAGAGAGAGAATATGGTCAATGGTAAGAGATGATTTGCGGAGTGTGGGAATGCTGGGCTTTGGGGAGTCATTAATCCCATTAAACGAGGGACGTGAGTTCCAATAATCCAAGTGGGTAATTTAGAGAGAGAGAGAGAGGTGATTTTAATTTTTCTTTTTTGCTTTTTAGAGAGAGAGAGATTTAGGGTTTGGACTTTTTCTAGTTGGAAGCGTAGATTTGTCTTATTTACGACACTCGTGTCCCTATTTATTGCAATATCATATACAGATCTGCCAAACAGATTTTTTATTTTGAACTATAAAGATGTGTAATATTTGTATTAATCTTAGTCACTTTGTGTGCCAACATTATTTTAAAGTCCGTTCAATGTATTATTTTATTTATAATATGTGGTGGTGAATAATACTTAATAAAATTCTACTATATTTCTATATATATACTTGCGTCTTTTATCGAATGGTTGATAATTAATTTACATCAATCCCTCCTTGATGAGATCATAAAAAGATTAAAAAAACATTTAAAGCGAGCCATGTAACAGGTTTAACTTTAAAAAACCTGTTTAGCTTCCTAAAAATTATCTTTAAGACAAACACAAATCTTCTTCTCCTTTATTTAAAACTTCAAATACGAGAGAGAGAGAGATATATATAGAGTTTTTAGAGAGAGAAAGTAAGGCAGCGATTTTGTTTGCAGCCATTCTTAGAGAAAGCAGAACTAGATCTCTTCCTCTCCTCAATCCTTGACAAGTAATCTCTCTTCAAGATTTCTTCACCAAATTTGCGACTCTTAAATCTTTTGATACGTTACTAATTTATGTTTGTTTCTTCTCAATTCCTATCATTGCAGATCAAATATACCTCACTGATTTAAGCTTTGATTCCAAAAAAAAAAGGGAAATGAATTCTAACAACTGGCTTGCTTTTCCTCTATCACCAACTCACTCTTCTTTGCCTCCTCACATTCACTCTTCACAAACTTCTCATTTCAATCTAGGTTTGGTCAACGACAATATCGACAACCCTTTTCAAAACCAAGGTATATGCACTCACATTTATGTATATGTATGTTCATATTCAAGGCCTTAATGCAATTTTTTTACTCCCTATTTGTTATTTCAAATAGCTTTTAAAAACTAAGGGTTCAAATTTTTAGACATATGTAAAATCGAAAGCATCATTGCACATGTTTAGAGACAGTAATGTTCATTTACACTGTATTTTGTCTTGGATATTTTACAAATTTTTGTTTTGTGTATTCAAAAAAATAATTAATTGTATGCTTTCTTAGAATGGAATATGATCAATCCACACGGTGGAGGCGGCGAAGGTGGAGAGGTTCCAAAAGTGGCTGATTTCTTAGGAGTGAGCAAATCGGGGGATCATCATCCCGACCACAACCTCGTACCTTACAACGACATTCATCAAACCAACGACTCAGACTACTACTTCCAAACCAATAGCTTGTTACCTACAGTCGTCACTTGTGCCTCTAATGCTCCTAATAACTATGAGCTTCAAGAGAGTGCTCACAATTTGCAATCTCTCACTCTTTCTATGGGAAGTACTGGAGCTGCCGCTGCCGAAGCTGACACCGTGAAAGCCTCGCCGGCTGAGACTAGCGCCGATAATAGTAGTAGCACTACCAACACAAGTGGAGGAGCCATCGTTGAGGCTACACCGAGACGGACTTTGGAAACTTTTGGACAACGAACCTCTATCTATCGTGGAGTTACAAGGTATTAAAGATATCTCAATTTTTTTTTTTTTTTTTTGTGTGTGAATAATAATAAAATGGGTATATAAATATGTTAGTTTTTTTGGGGTGTTATGTATAGACATAGATGGACCGGTAGATATGAAGCTCATCTTTGGGATAATAGCTGTAGAAGAGAAGGACAATCAAGGAAAGGAAGACAAGGTAAGTTTAGTCATTTATTTGATTAATGACTTCAATTTATTTCCTCTTTTGGTCTTCTCTCGATCGAAATCTTAATTTTGGACTAACTATTATTATGTTCTTGATGCTTGTATCTTGGACTTCTTCGAAATATCTACAGTCTACTTAGGTGAGTATACATGATTTTTTTTCACTTGTTATTGATTGAATTTTGATTTAGAGTAATGTGAAGAATGGTTGGTTTAACCGGACTATAAACGCAGGTGGGTATGACAAAGAAGAGAAAGCAGCCAGAGCATATGATCTAGCTGCACTTAAATATTGGGGTCCCTCTACTACTACCAACTTTCCGGTAAGTTATTTCAAAATTTCATGAATATACGTATATTTGTAATCATATAATGGTTGATAGTATCGTTAGTTCCTCATTTTTTTTTGAACGCATATTTTAGATAACTAATTACGAGAAGGAAGTAGAGGAGATGAAAAACATGACGAGACAAGAGTTTGTGGCTTCTATAAGAAGGTGATTTCCTTTTGATCAGACGTTGAATGTAAAACTTCAAATAGAAATAGCAACTTTCTAATCAAAGATTTCTAAATAAAAAAACTTTCTAATCAAAGAACCTCGCGTAAACAAGTGCAGGAAAAGTAGCGGATTCTCGCGTGGTGCATCGATGTATCGTGGAGTAACAAGGCATCATCAACATGGAAGATGGCAAGCAAGGATTGGCCGAGTTGCTGGAAACAAAGATCTATACTTGGGAACATTCAGTAAGAATAAATGTTAACCGTACTTATATATAATTCTCTCTAATCATATCTTTATAAATTATATATACATGACCGTTTCAAATTTTATAGAGATCATTAATTAGATTTAAAGATTAAGTTTAATATTATATTAAGAAAATAATTTAGTTTTATTTTATAAAAAAATTATTTAAAAATTACTTACACCCCAAAATAGATGGTCATGCTTATATTCATATCTTTTGCTCAGGCACGGAGGAAGAAGCAGCAGAAGCTTATGATATAGCTGCGATAAAGTTTCGAGGTCTAAACGCGGTTACAAACTTTGAGATAAACCGTTACGACGTGAAAGCTATCCTAGAGAGCAACACACTTCCTATAGGAGGTGGTGCGGCTAAACGGCTCAAAGAAGCTCAAGCTCTAGAATCATCGAGAAAACGCGAGGAAATGATAGCCCTCGGATCAAATTTCCATCAGTATGGTGCAGCGAGCGGCTCGAGCTCTGTTGCTTCCAGCTCTAGGCTTCAGCTTCAACCTTACCCACTAAGCATTCAACAACCTTTTGAGCATCTTCATCATCATCAGCCTTTACTTACTCTACAGAACAACAACGATATCTCTCAGTATCATGATTCCTATAGTTACATTCAGACGCAGCTTCATCTTCACCAACAACAAACCAACAATTACTTGCAGTCTTCTAGTCACAGCACACAGCTCTACAATGCTTATCTTCAGAGCAACCCTGGTTTGCTTCATGGCTTTATCTCTGATAACAACAACACTTCAGGGTTTCTTGGAAACAATGGGATTGGTATTGGCTCAACCTCGACCGTTGGATCATCGGCTGAGGAAGAGTTTCCGGCTGTGAAAGTAGATTACGATATGCCTCCTTCCGGTGGAGCTACAGGGTACGGAGGATGGAATACCGGAGAGTCTGTTCAAGGAATGAATCCAGGAGGTGTTTTCACGATGTGGAATGAATAAAAGATGATATTTCTGTGTTTCTTGCGAGGCAAGGTAGGGTATGGAATAATTAGCTACTTTAATTTCCATAAGTAATAGGATCGGCTAGAGTCTTCTTGCTTAGTAGAGGATTAATGTTTTATTTTTTACTTTTGACGGCGAAGGTGATAAACCTGTAAACGGCGGTTAACAGAGTCCTCGAGGGTTAGTGTTTTTATGGGTACTATAGTAAGATTAGAAAGTACCCAAATTTTGTTTAAAAGCTAACCCTTCTGACTAATTTCTCAAACTTGTATTCTTAATTTATAATTGAAGATTTATTGTTCCTATATTTTTATTTCATTATACATACTTATTTCTGAGTGTGAGTGTAACTGTGTAAGTAAAAAGTGTGCATAGTTATTGCTTATTATGTCTCTATACATAATTTTAGCTCTATTTAGTCAGTGTGTTATTTCTTTTCGATGGGCTTCAACTCTTAAGTTCCTCACCAACCAAAAATGGAAAAAGAAGCTTAATTCTTGGGTACAGAGCACAGGCCTTTTTAGGAGTTTCAAAACATAGATTTGTAAGGAGAATGTTACGGAGATAGTAGACTTGTATATGAGTTTCTGGCCGTTACAAGAAATCAAGAATGATAACTTAACTGTAGTGAAATAGGGGCCTAAAGGTGATTCTTTTTGCCTTGAATCAACTACACACCAAGGTCTTAAGTAATTTTAGAGAATGAAAGTTCACAAAACTCTAAGCTTGAGAAGTAACACGAAGTTGTTTGTTAAAAACAGAGAACAAAACAGAGCACACAAAGTTTTGTTTACCCAATTCACTCCCGTAAGGGTAGTTACGTCTGGACTGGAAAATGTTTCCTGGAATCCACTATATTACTGAGTGTTTGGAAGAGATCTCACACCCTTAAAGCCCCTTACAAAACTCTCTCTCGGATTCACTCTTTACCACTCAACTGTTTCCCCAAGAACTCTCAAACAAACTTACACGATGAATGAATTTCTCTTTACTTTCTTATGTCTATCTCTTTGCATATGCACAACTTATAAACTTACACATAATCTATATTAATCAAGAAGGATTTAATTAAACTATGCTTAGTCATGGTTAATTAAATCAAGGAGCATTGGATACTTTAGGATCACATGTAGAGGTTCATGACAAAAGAGGAAGGAGCCGTTTGAATACTATGAAGTCAAAGAGCTATTTGGAGTAAACATTGGAAAGCTCTCCATCATGTCATTGTCTTAGGAACGTTAGCTAAGTCCTCTACTTTGTAAACCCTCAACAAGTCTCCTCCTATATATGTATCCTTTGTAACCGAGATATGTAATTGAATGAGTCTTCTTGCATAATCTTTCTTCTACTTTTCTCTCAACTATGATTCTTCATTAATCCAAATTTCCGCTCAAACTCTCTCTCAATCTTAACATGGTATCAGAGCAAGATCCTCATTCTAAACTCTAAATCCTTTCTATTCTCCTTTCTATTTCTCTTTAAATCTCTGGCCTTGAATCTCTGATTTTCGAATCTCTGTTCTTCCTCATCTTGGTTGCTATTATCCAACGGTTAAAGAAAAGTACTCTTGTTCATTTGTTCTCTAAACTCAAACCTGTTTCACTAAATCTATTTCTCTTGTATCCGCTGTGCACTCATGTAGAATTTCTCACACTTCAAAAGGATAGTGATTCCGGTTACACTCAACGGTGAAAACTACCTCTTATGGGCTCGCTCGGCGAAGAATAACTTGGGTAGTTGTGGATTATGGAACCACATTGAAGCCATCAAAGGGAAGAAAGATCCCTCGATTGAAATCGAAGAAGAAGACGGAAAAGAAGAGAAAGAACTCACTCCCGAAGAGGAGAAGTGTACTCAAGAAGACCAAGTAGCGCTTGTGGCCCTTCAAAATTCTCTTGAGACGTCTATAATACAAGCTTACTCCTACTGCGAGAGAGCTAAAGAACTATGGGATACACTCAAGAATGTGTATGGCGATGTCTCAAACTTGACTCGGGTGTTTGAAGTCAAGAGAGCAATCAACAACTTACACATGGAGGATCTCGACTTCAAGAAGTACTTTGGAAAGTACCGATCTCTCCTAGCTGAGCTCAAAATGCTAAGACCTCCAACAATCAAACCAAAAGAGCTAGCCATGAGGCGAGAGCAAGATAATGTTTTTGGCTTGCTTTTGGGTCTAAGTCCAAATCTCAACGGACTAGTTCAACATATCCTAAGAGGAGATGAACTACCAACTCTAGATGGGGCATGTTCCCAAATCCAAAAGGAGATTGGTGGTCTTGGCTTGTTCTACAAGGGAGATCTACCCACGGCCAACAAAGGAACTCTTCAAGGGAAAGAGGAAACACCGGTGGCAAGCAAAGGAGTGTTTAAACCAAATGAAGATCGAAGAAACTTGGTGTGTGAGCATTGTAAACGAAAGGGTCATATTAAAGAAAAATGTTGGATACTTCATCCTCATCTAAAGCCAAGCAAATTCAAGGAACCAAGAGCTCACATGGCCGAAGGTTCTAGCTCGGGTCAAGGAGAGAGTGGTAACAAGGGAGTCTCAGGTCAAGAGCTAGCTTTGGTTCCAACTACACATATCTCTCAAGGAGATATAGTGATGAAAAAGGCGGACTTGGAAGCATTATTTCAAGCCATGGCCTCTAAGCTCAACGCTAATAATGGTATCTCTCTCTACTCTAGTATTTCGAGCACTTCTAATGATCACTATGTTGTTGATTCGGGTGCCTCTCACCATATGGTTAAAAATGCTAAGTTACTTGAGAATATAAAATCCACTAGTGGTCATGTTGCTACCGCCAATGGCAATAGAGTAAACATAGAAGACATAGGTCAAATTAACTTATTTGATAAGAAATCCGAAGCTTTCTATATGCCCCAATTCACTAGTAACCTCCTTTCGGTGAAAAAGGTAACAAAAGACTTGAATTGTTATGTAAAATTTGGACCTAACGATGTGCATTTTCAGGATATTAAGAGTGGGAAACTACTTGGAAAGGGAGACACTACAGATGATCTTTATATGCTTAAGGCGTATCCATTACAAAGTACTTCAAGTGTTTCGGTCTTAAATCAAGTTCCTTTATCTATGAATGCCACACTAGAAGATTTATGGCATTTTCGTTTAGGTCATCCTCATTCGAGGGCTTTAAGTTTAATTTTCCCAAATGTTGTTTTTGATAACTCTAGATGTGAGGCTTGTATCCTTGGCAAACATTGCAAGGCTGTTTTTCCAAACTCTAAAACTATTTATGAAAAATGCTTTGATTTAGTTCATTCGGATGTATGGACCGCACCTTGTATCTCAAGGGACCATAACAAGTATTTTGTGACTTTCATTGATGAAAAATTAACAAGTATTTTGTGACTTTCATTGATGAAAAATCAAAATATACTTGGCTCACTTTGCTCCCTTCTAAAGACCGTGTACTTGATGCGTTCCAAAACTTCCAAAATCATATAACTAACCAATATAATGCTAAGATCAAAGTGTTTAGGTCGGATAATGGAGGAGAGTATACAAGTCAAGCATTCAAAGATCATCTCACAAGACATGGGATCATTCATCAAACAAGTTGTCCATATACACCACAACAAAATGGTGTGGCCGAGAGGAAGAATCGACATTTGATGGAAGTGGCGAGATCCATGATGTTTCATCATAATGTACCAAAACGTTTTTGGGGAGACGCAGTGTTATCCGCGTGCTATCTAATCAACCGGATCCCTACAAAGATCCTACAAAATGCATCACCATTTGAGGTAATTAATAAGTCTAAGCCTTCTCTAGATCACTTACGTGTTTTTGGGAGTGTTTGCTTTGTTCTAGTTCCCGGAGATCAAAGAAACAAGCTTGAACCGAAAAGCACAAAGTGTATGTTTCTCGGCTACTCTACTACTCAAAAGGGATACAAGTGCTTCAATCCTTCTACAAATAGGATGTTGGTATCAAGAGACGTTAAATTCTTCGAAGAACAAAGCTACTTTGAAACAAAGAGTTGGGACAATGTCAAAGACATCTCAGATAGTCCCTCGGATCGAGCAAAGAGCTTAGAGTTCATCATCCAACATCTTGGTAATCCGGCACCTACGGCTGAAGCGTCTTCTCCCCAACCTGCTCACGGCAGCCCTCAGCATGGTTACAATGATGATACTGTACCTACCAGAAATCAAACACCATCGGGTCCTTCTCAAAGCAATATGACCGGACAAGACTTGGAGAACTCCTCAGACCATGACAATGACAATGACACTATTCTTCATACAGCTCCGGTTCCCCGACGAAGCACACGCCCTCGCAATCCTCCGGAAATGTGGAGAGACAATCAGTTTCATTACCCGGCTAATCAAGTCACTTACCCCATTCAACAAGTTTGCTCGATGGACCTTCTACCCGCTGAACACAAGGCCTTCTTAAGTCAAATTGATGCTCATATCATTCCCCAAAGCTATGAAGAAGCACAAGGCAATGAGAAATGGACAAAAGCAGTAGATGATGAAGTGGGAGCGATGGAAAAGAACAACACATGGGACGTGGAGGAGCTACCTCCGGGAAAGAGGTGTGTTAGTTCTAAATGGGTTTTCACCATCAAGTATCATAGCAACGGCGAAATAGAACGCTACAAAGCACGGCTTGTCGCACGTGGCTTCACTCAAACCTATGGCGATGACTACACGGATACCTTTGCTCCCGTGGCCAAACAACATACGGTCAAGGTTGTGCTCTCTCTAGCTACAAACCTTGATTGGGAATTATGGCAAATGGATGTTAAAAACGCTTTTCTTCAAGGCGACTTAGAAGAAGAAGTCTATATGCTTCCACCACCCGGTTTACAAGACTCTATCCCCGACGGCAAGGTACTAAGGCTTCGCAAGGCAATATATGGGCTTAAGCAATCTCCTCGCGCATGGTACCACAAGTTAAGCACTACGCTCAAAGCCAATGGTTTTAGAAAATCTGAGGCGGACCACACACTTTTCACACTTCAAAGTGAACAAGGCATTGTTGTGGTTCTTGTCTATGTTGACGACATTATCATCACGGGTAGTAACAAGGAAGGTATCGCCCATATCAAGTCCTCTCTTCATTCCGTTTTTGACATTAAAGACTTGGGTGCTCTTAAGTATTTCTTAGGTCTTGAGGTGTGTCGATCCAAGGAGGGATTATTTCTCTCACAACGGAAATATACTCTTGATCTTCTAAGGCTTACGGGTAAGCTTGGTGCAAAGCTGGCTAAAACACCCCTTCCAGCTGGCTATAAGGTCCCTCGAGAGGGGGAGAACGATGATACTCCTTACAAA